GCGCTGTGCAGCCGCCAGGCAGAGGCGCGCGGCGGCGAGAACCAGGGGCAGGAGGCAGGGGAGCCCGCAGCTGCGGGGAAGGCCTGGGGTCACGCACACAGCGGCAGGCTGGCTGAGACTGCTGCCGCCGACGGACCGACGAAAGGAGCGGACGCTTGGGGAGATGTCCGCATTTGGAAGGCGGCAATGGTGCAATGTACCTTTCAGACAGAAGAGTTTTAGGGTTTAGTCTGCAGTCTTTTCTGTAACATTTCTAGACGGTTTCACAGACCATCTTCCGCCAACAGCCTTGTTTTAACGACAAGCCTATTCCTCCCCCAAGGCTCTCAGCTCCCATTTCATAAATACACTCTCTTCCTGAATAGTATTCAAGACACTAAGCAGTTTTTTTTTAATCTTCATTTCCTTTATAACTTTTATTTCAAAATCTTCTTTTGAGTCTCCAAGTAAATAAATGCTCCTTATTCTCTTGGCATCCAGAATTTTACCGTATGTCCTACGAGGGCACTGTGTCCAGAGACGCACGTGTCCTGACAGGTACTGTTTCCAGGGATTTGTCCTGTCTCCAACCAGGTAACAGTACTTTCTAAAATACCTCTAAAACACTTTTGAAAGAACTTTCTGAAAATAGCCTGTGCAAGTAAATACAGTCATCACTTACATATGGGGAAAAATCAAGCCAGTGTTTGGCTGTGACTCTGGCTATTTACACAGCAGGGAAGGGAGAGAGGAGCAAGTTGGGCATGAAAAGCAGGGGAGGGCTGAGGCTTCTCCTGCCTTATTTTCAGTTTACCAAAGGAACTGGACTCCACAGTGTGGGAACAGAGGGCAACTGGTTCTCTCTCACCTTTTCCTTAAAGCAAGTTCTGACAATTCGTTTTTCTCTTTCCCTGGATGAAATCCTGAACAGATCTCATAAATGACCCTTCTGGTCATTCTCAGTACTGAGTTTTCTCTGAAAAGCATTTGACCCAAATGAAGTTTTACCCTCATCTCATGAAGACTCTTCCTCCCACTTATCCTAGCTCCAACCTAATTCAGGGTTAGAAGCCTCCAACAGGGAGGCGATTCCATCTCTCCTCCTAAATCCAGACGCTCCCCCACTCACTTGTGCTGCTGCCTCTCGTTGCTCCAGCGTTGGTAAATTCAGGGTGTACGAGTGAGAGCGGAAAAGAGTGAAGGAGAGAATGGCCAGGACAGTGAAGATCACGCATGCCACAGCTGCACACGGAAATCTCTATGCTGAAATCGCAGCCCTTCCTCACCTGCGTGCCTAAACTGGTACTTGAGCTTGTGAAGCACTGAGATGCCCTGACACCTGTGCTCCGTGACCCCAGCCTCCCCTGGCTCTGTGCTCTCACCATGCCCTCCTCAGCCTCTGGCTTCTGGCTGTCCGGACCACCACACTCATTCTGTTAAGTTCACCCTCTCCTCCCAGGCCTGTTTACTGTAGAATAAACAATCCACACTTAAAATACACATATGACATATATTATTTTCATATTTTTTCTAACTGGTACACTGAATGGGCTAAAGATTCAGGTACATTTAATTATTCTTCCATATATGCCCTCAAATATGCCCTGATGGATCTCCCTTCTCAGCTCCTGGACAAGCCCTTAGGCAAACCCCATAGCCCTTCAGTCCCTTTCAGTTAAAAAAAAAATCCCATTTCAATCCAAGAACACATTCTTCTCCTTGGTCTCACCCTCCTCTTCTGCTCTGGTTTCCTTAACGTAGGTGGCAGACAGGAAGGGGATAGAGAAAACAGGCAAAGTAATGACCTAATACTGTTGCAAACCAGTTTCAGAACCCTGGGTCCCATCAAGTATCCAAATGCTGGCTCAGTGAGCACCTGAGAACTGTCATGGAATACTTCCAGCTCTCACAGCTGACTCTTGTAATCTTGTAATTCCCACCCTCAGCAATTAACACACAGTAGAACACCCATTGCCTTTCTTTTGGAATTCCTCTTTCAGGAAACTTCAGGCCCGGTGGCTACCACTTTCTGAAGCATCTATTTGGTCCCCAGGAACTCAAACATCTTTGCCACCTAAAGAGCTGAAGCACAGCCGGCTCACTTGCTGACTCTTCCCCTCCTCACCTTGCTACGAGGCCTACTCCATGTGGCACCATTAAAATAAAGGATTCTCCATGAATGCAATGGCTGATGTTTACCCAAGTATAAAAACTTAAAAAAAAACCTATTAAAAATATAGTATCCTACCCTCCTACACTGTTGGTGGGAATGTAGTTTGGTGCAGCCATCATGGAAAATATGGAGATTCCTTAAAAAACTGAAAGCAGACTTACCCTAAGATTCAGCAATCCCACTCCTGGGTACATATTGAGAGGAAACTCTAATTAGAAAAGACACCTGCACCCCAGGGTTCATAGCAGCACTATGTACAACAGCCAAGACATGGAAGCAACCTAAATGTCCATCGACAGATGACAGGATAAAGAAGCTGTGACATATTTATACAATGGAATACTACTCAGCCATTAAAAAGAATAAAATAATGCCATTTGCAACAACCTGAAGTATGACAATACTAAGTGAAATAAGCCAGAAAGAGAAAGAAAACTACCATGTTATCACTTACATGTGGAATCTGAAAAAAATAAATAAATAAAAAGGATACAAATGAACTTATTTACAAAACAGAAACAGACTCACAGACATAGAAAACAAACTTATGTTCCCAGTGGGGAAAAGCAGTGGGGAGGGATAAATTGGGAAACTTGGAATTTGTAGATACTAACTACTATGTATAAAATAAACAAGGTCCTACTGTATAGCACAGGGAACTGTGTTCAATACTTATAATGGCTGATAATGAAAAGAATACAAAAAGGAATATATATGTATGTATAAATGAATCACTCTGCTGTAACACCAGAAATTAACACAACACTGTCCATCAACTACACTTCAATTAAAATACAGTACTCTAAATACAATTTACTCTTTAATTGATAGAATCCCTACCTTATATGGTATGTTAGCAGCTTTTTTTTTTAACAGCAGCATTATTTATAATTGCCAAGATGTGGAAGCATCCTAAGTACACATCAATAGATGAATGGATAAAGATGTAGCATGTATACATAATGGAATACAACTCACCCATAAAAAGGATATTTTGCCATTTGCAGCCCTTCATTCACTTTTCCCCCCACTTTAAAATCCTGAATTTTATAACTGCCATAAACATTTTCTTTGCACCCAAAAGAACAAAATACCCAGAAATAAACTTAGCCAAGGAGGTTACCTAAACTCTGAAAACTGTAAAACACTAATGAAGGAAACTGAAGATGATACAAAGAAATGGAAAGATATCTTGTGCTCTTGGATTAGAAGAATCAACATTATCAAAATGGCCACATTACCCAAAGCAATCTACAAATCCAACGCAACCCTGTCAAATACTCACAATATTTTTCACAGAACCAGAACAATTCTAGAAGTTGTATGGAACCATAAAAGACCTCAAATTGCCAAAGCAATCTTTTGTAGGTCTTTTTTCTTTCCCTCTTTCTTCTTTTTGTTCTTTTCTTATGGTTTGATGACTAGAGAAGTTCCTTTAACATTTTCTGTAAACCTGTTTTGGTGGTGCTGAATTCTTTAAGTTTTTGTTTGTGAAGCTTTTGATTTCTCCATCAAATCTGAAGGAGAGCCTTGCCGGTGAGTGAGCCAGTCTAGCTCACTGATGTGTTCTTCTGCCTCATTTAGTCTATTCTTGGTTCCTTCTAGTGTTATTCATTTCAGTAATTTAATTCTTCAACTCTATTTGGGTATTCATTGTATTTTCCAACTCTTCGTGAAAAACTCTGCCCCGTGCATCTATACTCCTCTTGAGTTCTCTGAACATCTTTGCCATCATTACTTTAAACTCTTTCTCAGATAAATTACCTATCTCCTCCTCACTTACTTCTTCTTTTATCTTCTTACCTTATGCTTTGACCTGGGAGATACTCCTCTGCTGCCTCATTCTGTATGTCTTCTTGTTTTTATTTTTAGGTAGGTTACTTATGTTCTCGACCTTGGAGAAGTGGCCCTCTGTGGGAGACGTCCTATGTGTCCGAGGAGTACACTCCCCTCTTGTCACCCAAGGGCCAGGGTCCAGCCAGTCCCAGTGTAGAATCTGCTTTGTGTCTGTGGGCTCCTTCCACAGGCTGTGGGATTGTTGTTTTCTTACTTCTGGTACCTGCCCCTGCTGGAGGAGGCTGGACTAGAGGCTTACACAGGCTTCCTGGCAGGAGTCGACGGTGCCTGCCCACTGCTGGACCTGGACCTCCGGTGGGTAGGGCTGGGCCTAGAGGTGTTTGTGACTCAGGAAGCCTGCTGATGGGTGGGGCTGGGTCTTGGTACTAACGATCTGATCAAGATGTCAGCCTTCAGGAAAGCTCATGTAGATGAACACTCCTGGAATGTCCACCACTAGCTTTTATGTCCCCTGGGTGAGCTGCAACCCTCTTCTACCTCCCCAGGAGATCTTCAAAAACCACAGGCAGGTCTGGTCCAGGTCCCTATGAAATCACTGTCATTTCCCTTGAACCTGGAACACGGGAGATTCTGTGTATGCTTCCCAAGAGAATGACGTCTCTCTTTCCCCCAGTTCTGTGGGGCTCCTAGAGTTAAGCCCCACTGGCCTTCAAAACTAGATGTCCTGGGGTCTCCTCCACCTAATGCCAGAAGCCCGGGCTGGGGAGCCTGACGTGGGGCTCAGAACGCTCACTCCTGTGACGGGAGGGGGGCCCTGTGACTGAAATATTCTTCAGCTTGTGGGTCACCCACCTGTGGGGTAATGGGGCCCGATTATGTCATGAGCATGCCCCTCCTACCGTCCTATGGTTCCCTGTTTCCAGTTGAAGATCTCTTTGCTGGGTTCCATCCTTTTTTCCGATGGTTGTTTAGCAGTCAGTTCTGGTTTTGCTGTAGTCAGGAGGGGTGGGGAGCTTGTGGTCCCATCACTCCACCATCTTGACCAGAAATCTGGTATGTTAGCAGTTTTGACACAGGTCTCTCTCAAAATACTTCCTGCCCTTGGATCCCCTAACACTATTTTCTTATTTTACTTCTTACCATTTTGATCATTCTTTCTCAGTCTCCTCCCCACTCCACCTTTAAATAGTATTCTCAGGACTCTGCCCTAGGTCTTTCTCAAGTCTAACTTAGGTGATCTCACTGCTGCAACTTTAAGTCCTATTACGTCAACTACCATCCACACGTTAATGGTTATGATTTTCCCTTTAGCCTGACCTTTCATTCTGCAACTACCTGACACCTTCACTTAGGTGTTTCTATGGTGTGGCAAACTTAATTCCTACTTGTTCTCCAGTATTCAGTAGCTCAACAGACAGGCCTGTAACTCACAGAATTGATCATAACATCTTTGACACCTCACTTCCTTAACCCCTTATGCCTCCATAGACAGAACCTGCTCTTAAAATACAATTCTGATCTTACTACTATTTGACACTTGTTACAGTCCCTTGAGAGAATTAGTGAACAAATACCTTCTATTTTGCCCACTCATCATGAATTCTTTACCGTGACCTTCTCTGCACACGATTCAGATGATGACCGCAGGAACAACCACATTATAGTATAACCCATTTGCTCAGCTACGGACACTTGATACAAGCTGTCACACACTCCCCTGGCTACAATGATTGGTCAAGAGATAAGCACCTCACATCCAAGCTAAGCCAGAGCCCCTTCTCCAGGACTTTGAGGGTCTGAATAGAAAGGGAGTTCACCGATCTCTGGGTTTTTAAACTACAAATTGTTACACGTAAAAATGGTAGGCAGTTATGTTTCCTGCCACCCAGACCACATAAAGTTAAGAAAGCTGGTGGAGAGAATGAGAAATGAGGGTGGGAGAAAAATGAAGCGAGGAAGGCAAAAGTAAAAGATAAGAAAGAGTTCGGAGTTTTCCAGTCCCTAGGTGATTCTGAAAGACAATTACACAAATCACTCTAGTATGCTACTATCATGACTTTTCAGTTAAAATATTGTTAGGTTTCTCTCACTAGCAGCCAAGAATTGCCAGTGACAGAGAAAACAAAGAGAGAGACCAATATATTAACTGACTCATAATGCCCTACCTGATCTTACAGCCTAACCTAGAATCTCTCTCAAATCCCCTCAACACAGTACGGCGCCGGAGCGGTATCCTTTAGTTGTTCATACAAACAAAGCTGTTCTATTCCATGGCCTCTTTTGCCTTCCCTTTTACTTACCACACTACAGCTTACCTTTTAAGTATCAGCTTAAATGTTACAGGTGCTCAGAGTACCCCTGACTTCACCTCCAGAGCACCGGGAATGGATTCTAAACGTGTCTAGTTTCAATGACTAGCCCCCCCCCCAAGTTTAAGCCTATATTCACATGCACAAAATAAGGAAATTACTATAGTTACAGCAATTCTGATAAATTTCTTACCTCAAATGCCCATTCCTTTTCTTCTTCTCCATCCAAAAACAAACGTGTTTCTTTATAAACTTGGCCTATATCCAGGTTTAATGGTGAGATGTCAAATTCAAGCCGTTGCAATTCAAATCCTAATCCAACACCTACAGCTTTAATGAAGCTTTCTTTCAGTGCCTAAGATACAGAAAGACATATTCTCTGAGAGCATTTAGTAGGCAACATTTTTCACAAAAATGACAGTCCCCAACACATGTGGATTTTTAATCCTTTACTACATTATGGCTATAAGCTATTCATTTTCACCCTTATAGTAGCATGGAGACAAACCAGTTGTGAGACCTTAAGACAAACCATTTAAGCTCCCTGTGCCTCCATTTCCTCAGGTGTAACATGCAATGATAAATTACGTTCTTCATAGGGTTGTTACAAAAATTAAATTAAATTAACTAATTTACATGTCTTCTAGCAATGAATAGTGTACGTGTTCATTAAATAAGGCCTCATGTGTATGACACCCTTTAAGACAGAAAACATTAAATCTTATTTATAAATCATGATAAATATAACGTCTTATTTTAGCTTTAAGAGTATCTTCTAATTGAGCATTAAATGCATGTTAAATTTTCTTAAATGTCATTATAATGTAATAATGAATACATAAAAATAATGAAGTTCCCAAGTAGTGACTTAATTATTTTGAACACTGTATGAACTACAGGGTAACCAAAGGACTTCTTCTGTTTTTAGCAAAGATAACAGAATCACCACATGGGTTTACTCTCAAAACTAGAAACAAATTATACCCAATTCCTATAGAACATATCCAGCTGAGTCCATTCATCCTTAAAGCTTCTGATTGTTTCCCATTCTCTGTTGGTAAACTTTCTTTTCATAATATGAAAAAATTCCGGAATTGAACCACGACCTGTCAACCGAGGAAACAGAGAATTAAAAATAACTGTTCCAACGACTAAAACTGTTACAGACAGCACCTAAAAGAAAACTACAGTCCAACCTTACTTTTGAATACAGTCACAATAAATAATCCTAAACAAAACTGCAGCAAATCAAAGTGAGCTGAGAATTAAAAGAATAACATACATGACAAGCAGGGGTTAACCCAGAGACAGCCAGCTAGCTTAACGGTAAAACTCCTGAGTATTATTGTAAGTAGAAAAAACATATGGTCATATAAATAGACACCCACCAAAAATCTGATAAAATTTAGCACCCAAACCTATTATAAATCTTAAATTACAGGGGGAATTTCCTATGTACAACAGAATATCAGAGTTCCCAAAACAAGCATTCTTAAAACAGAGCACTACTACCGTGAGGTTTAAATTTTTACTTTACTATATAACAGGAAGAGTAGGGAACAATTTATTATAATTTTTGGGAAACTGGTAGAAAGCTAAGGAGTGTTCTTTTATTCTAAGTTATTGCTATGACTTGAAAATTAATATACATTAACCTCCTTCACAATAACTGCTTTTAAAAATGTTTTCTAATATGACTTTTTCAAATAAAAACAGACTTAAATTACTGTTCTTTTGGCTCATTAAAAAAAAAATCTGAAGTATATCCCTAGCTCTACTGTTCCACAGACAAAAAATATACAGCATCCCAAATATAAACAGAGCTCAAAGGCTCTGACTCCCAGAATTAAAGCTAAGACACAAATTAAAATATATGGTATGCCTTTCATATTATATTGTCCCCAAATATTGTGTGTTTGTCTATCTTTACTACTAAGCAGGAACCTTCTATAACCATTCATTTATCCTACAAGTGTGTAGCATGTATACAAATATTACACCAACATGAACTGAACTAGTGAGGAAAACCAAAGCTGTCGCGGTTCTTACCCTCACATGATTACAGCCTCACTGGTCGACCAGAAAGTCTGGCGACAAGGTAAGTGAACTATAAAGGTTCACTATATGAATAAATGTGTGTTAACTATAATGTGGTGAATTACTTCCTAAGTGCTCCACTGCCCTATATCCTCAGCTTATGATTACATTACTTCCAGTAAACCTCTTGAAAGTAGTCCCCCTGCAGATTCTGTTAACGAAGCTTTGTCTACTCCCTCAATTCCTATTTCTGAAGTACTCAGCTTCAAAATCTGACATTCCCAACTGGCTGCAACCTTAGCACGTCTGCAAAGAAAAAAAAAGACATCAAATCCTCCTACTTAACCCTTTATTGGCATTTCACTAGCTAACCCCATGAAAACTCAATAATTAGAATGCCTACTGCATCAGTCACTCTAAAAATACCCCAGTGCTAGATGCCAGGAGCATCACAATGAGCGAAACAGGCATGGTCCTCACCTTCATAGCGAGTTTATAGTTTCTTCTACCTTTCCTGAGTTACACAGTAACCAAGCACCTTTCCCAGTTATCTCAAGGGTAGAAAATATTAAAAAAAACAATTCTCTTACAAAAGTGTCTATAATTCTCCCACCACCCCAATTCAAAACAGTCTTGTCTAGTTAGGGAATTTCTAATGACCCTACAATAACATGTGGTCCTTTAGTTCAAGGCAAAGATCCTCATCTATGTTCAAGCTCATCAAACACATTTAACTAATATATCTATTCCTCTACTATTCTCAAAAAGGTTAACTTTACAATCCACTTTCATGAATCAACAACATCCACTGTTCATCTGCTCATATTAACATTAAAAGGCTATTCTTTCCTAAATGCAGCCCTGCAGAACTGTTAAGTCATTTCATGTAACAGCATGGAGTTAATTACTGTGACCTTAGGAATCCCAGGGCAGGGGATTCTTACTCTTTTGAGGCTCTGAACCCCCTCTGATAGTCCGCTGCTTAAATTCCTTAAGCCGCTTAGTAAAAACTGTCCTGTTAAAATGCAAGCATCACTAGTATATAGTGGCTTGACAGCTAAAACACTAAAGGAAAATAAAGAAATCAAGCTTGCAAAAGTGACGAAGGTAGACCTGGAGATTTTAAATACTGGAAGCACCAAAACTACATAAATCATAAACTGTTTCCTCTTGAATAGATTTTGGCATAAACAGTGTAAATAATAACACTGAGAAGAAAGCTACCTTGAATTTGCAGACAGCATTATATGTTCTGAGTGGAGCTGTAGTTTTAACAGCATACTATCAAAAAGCCTAAAGTTTTAAAAAGATATGCCTGTTGTCATCTACAGTGTCATTATGTTTGTTGGTTTCTTCAAGTTATAATTCTGTAACTTTCAAGGCTCTTATTTTTAACTAAACACAATGGGGCAATCAAGGAAAAAAATTTAAGTGAACCCCCCCCAAAACCAAACTCATTAACATAAAAAGCCATCTAGCACAATCACTGGAAAGCAATCATAACTGATTGTGTACAGTTTAAAACTCTGATACGAATGTTTTCATATACTTTTGAGAGCATCATATTCCACAAAATAAGAAATCTGACAGCAACAGAAAAAGATGACTGTAAATATTCAGCTAAAGAACAACAGTGCCACAATGTGGCATGATGGTGAAAATGCACAGTGGGTGAGTTACTCTTCAAGATTTAGTTTATCTAGGAAATTGAAAGTAAGAAAAAAAAAAACCAGTAAAAAATATCAGAACAGTACATTTGTCTCAAACTATCTGAAGAGGACACATAAGTGGGCAAAGCCTCCCAATACATATTCATGTCTACTCCAATCTTCATTTTAATCATTTTACTGCACATGCACGAACTTATGTATACACATAGGAAAGATAAAATGACTGAAAAACTTACTTAGAACCACCAACCAAGTTTAGAAAAACCAGATCCCCCATCTTATAGTTTAGTCTTTAGGGAAAGCAGCACTAGATATTAACTTAAGCATTCTGCAATGAGCTAACCAACGTCACGCAGCAACTTGAAAGTTTAAAGAGCAGTAACCTACAACAAAATAATTCACACAGTTAAGCCTTAACAATGTGAGTTTGAACTGTGCTCGTCCATCTACATGCAAATTTTTTTCCATTGCAACCGATCTGCTGTTGCTTGAATCCACGGATGTGAGTATGAGTGAATCAAATTATATGAAGGGCCAACTAAAAGTCATACTTGTGGAGGGCTGGGGCCCCTGAACCAACCCCCACCCCTAATACCCACTGCTGTTGATAAAACCTTTAGCTACTACTACAAGCCTATTTAAAAAAATCCTGCTAGTACCAGAACCCCAAAGCCCACCTACATCAGTATCTCTTCAGAACACGGCCACGGGTGTGTATATCTAACAGTATCTCAGTTAAAATTCACCATTCTTCTTATAGAAAAGGGGCCAGTTACTTTAGGGGGCAGTTGAGCAATGTCCATCTGTGTGCTTCAAAGTAACAAAATCTAGTTTGAGATAGTAAGTCATATTAGAAATTCTAGTACTTTCATTTTCAAGTACTAGGTTACATTTAATCTTGCTTCCATGGGAGATGAAGTCTGGTAAAATTTCAGTTAAAATGTACACAATAAGGCTTGACCTATCAGCTCTATTACCCAGGAATTTATGCCCGTACAAATTCAGAATAAAACAAAAGTGTCTGAGCTGCTAATACAGGCTTCAAAAACGATATACACAAATCCTTTAGTATGCTACTAACAAAGGAGCAATTAATCTTTCAATACAAGCGGCATACAGCAGAAAGAGCACTAAATTGAAATGTGACTACCTAATCTTGAAACTCACGACCGAGGCAGTCCTGAACGTCAGCTGCCTTAGTGTTTACTTAAATGTGCACTGATTAACTTACGCATGTATCAACACACACAGGCAAGAAAGGGGCCAACAGAGAGCCAGGGCTACTTGACTGCAAACGTATTCCCCTTCAAGAAAAGGGAAGGATTCTGATGGCAGGGTAGAGCCACCCCAAGGGGCCAGGGGACAGAGCATGGAGCCACACAAGATCATTAAGAGGCCTTGAAATCTAATGGGATTTGCTCTGCTGGGTTTTGAACTTTATTGGGACCCATGATTTTTTCTTCAAACTTCTCCCTTTTGAAATGAAAATGTCTGTCCTGTGCCTGTCCCACCACTGTATTTCAGAAGGAGATGATTTATTTTCTAGTGTCACAGGTTCACTGATGGGAGAATTTTGCCCCATTATGGACCATACCCAGAGTCTCACCTGTATCTGATTTAGATAATTCAGACAATGATATTTGGAACTTTCTGAGTTGCTGCATTTAGATGCAACTTTGGATTTAGAGTTAATGCTGGAATATGTTATGACTTAGGGTTGCTGGCATGGGGTGAATTTATTTTGTATGTGGGATGGATGCAAATTTTGGCGAGCCACAGGATGCACTGTATTGGATTGAACAGGGTCTCCCAAAATTCATTCCCACCCAGAAATTAAGAATGTGACCTTATTTGGACATAGTCTTTGCAAGTATAATCCAGTTAAGACGAGGTCATGTTGGATTAGGGTACGCCCTACATCCAGTGACTGGTGTCCTCCCAAAGAGAAACATTTAGACCCAGACAGAGAATAGATGGAAAAACGTAACATGAAGATAAAGGTAAAAACTTGCAGCAATGCAACAAAGAAGGATTCGTCCCCACAGTCTTCAGAGGTACCCTGGCCTTGTTAACACTTCGATTGACTTCTGGCCTTCAGAACTGTCAGAAAATTAACTGTTTTAAGACACTGAGTTTTTGGTCCTTTGTTAGGAGCCCTAGGAAACCAATACGTACACGGACACAACTTAATCTACATACACACACACACACACTCTTAACTCTAGTGTTATGCCCCTGGAGTAAAGTTTAAGTCCTGGCTCTGTCACTTCTTTACTGTTAAATTTATTTCACTTCTCTATGGCTGTTTCTTAAGCTACAAAATACAGAAAAAGGGTAGTCTAAGAAATAAACATAAAAGGCCCAGAGCTTTTACTTAATAAACGTAAGGCTGTTGGGGT